TGGCGAACAGCTTAGACGGTGTTTCAGTACTGCCACGCCCCTTGCTCAGTCTTTCAACAAAAGCTTTTGGCGAATCCGGCACTGTACTCACTCGTGTTGTGGAAGCTGTCCTCAGTAAAATGCGCAGCACACAATAGCAAATTGGGGTTATAATGCTCAGGAACAGAGTTAAAAAATAAATTGCAACCACTGTCTCCTGACATCATCCGCTTTCGGAAGCCCAAACAAAGACGTTTGGGCATGGAGCTGAAAAAAAACAGCGTTTCAGGCGGTCGCACACCGGACGAGAAGCGCAGCGTCACGCCACATCTTTAAAATTCAAATACTTTATTTTCTATGAGTGTAGGCACACCGGCGGCGCCGTTCGGCGTCTGTCCGTGGCGCCCAGCTACGTCGTGTTGTACTTGTAAGAATTGTTCTAGACATGCCGAAAATTTGACGCTACAGCACAGCAGCTTTTCTTCTTCGTTTTCTCTGATGCACTAACTCTGCAGCAGCACTTCTTCTTCATCGTCTCGTCTGATGCACTCACTCAACCAAGCGTTCTAACCACAACCTCGCCCCTCCCCACCCCCCAACCATTCCAATTTCTGTAGGCGGGAATTATTTGTAATGATATTCCAATGAGCCGCTTTGTGATATCACAAAGCCCGGAAAACAAACGCTTTAGTCCAAACGAGCCGTTCGTTGTAGTTCTTGAAAAGGGATTTTTTTAAAACGAAATATCTCCCTTTGGAGTGGACTTTGAGATTTGTAAGTTTCTAGATCTTTTTTATGCCCAAACATACACACTACACACTGACTAAAATTTAAAAAGTGAAAAAGCATAATAGGACCCCTTTAATTTAAAAGTAAGTAGTGGTTAAGGACACTTAATATGAAGTAGGTCCAATTTGCATTATGCCGTATGTATTCAATGTGAAAACTTCACTATCAACACTCTTAAATAGCTCTAAAAACTCTTTAGTCAGTAAACATTGTATTAATTCAAAAAACAATTATTCAAAAGAAAACGATAACACGTTTGTGTTGTCAGTTAACTAGATGCTAGCCCTGTCTCATATTAGCATGTAATGTCCCTGAAAAACACAAAACACAACACTTCCTTTCAACATTTGCAGTCTCATGCAAAGCATACTTGGAACTACCGATCCACTGCCTAGTTATGTTTAGCAAAAATGATTAATGTAGCAGAATGAAAAATGGAATCTTACAATAGCTTGTCACTGGGGCAGAAATGTCAAAATGAGACCTTTGTACCTAATTTACCCCAAAAGAGTTCATAGTGGTACCATTAGATGTACGATAGGTATATAAAGGTATTATAACCCTAATATTACTTAATTTCAATATTTGATTTTAAAGAAAATGTGTTACATTTTGAAAGGCAAACAATTTTAGCAGTATGTTGCATGTTTTTATAGAAAGTTGAAGAGGAGGATAATGTGGAGTATGTACCTGTCGTCATGAGATGATGATCAAAAGTCGGTCTGTTTCTTCAGTCCCAAATACAGCTGTGTTATCACCTTCATTAAGCAACTTTTAAGACATTAGGGTCTTAAGATTCACTCTTAAGATTCAGAGTCTTTGGTTGAGTTCCTGGACTGGTAAGAATCACAAAAACAACAACGACAAATTTATATGGGAGATGTGTTTGAAAAACAGAAAAAATTAAGCTAGCTTTGAAAGCATAAGATTGCATCCTTTCTGCAAATCACTCTCCAAAGCCACGCCTCCTCCAGCGCGGTCACTTAATCAGGATGAGAAAAGACTTTCAGCCAGCATAACAAAAATGTTTTTGAACCAAATCACCTAAACTCCCATTAAAAACATACTTGTTTGATGCGCGAGAACAAACTTCACTTGTTTCTGTGCATCAAGCATGCTAATTTAAGCTTCCGTCCATTTCTTGAAGCTTGAAAATGATGATTATATGGACAAAAATTGAGATGATTGAAGGTCCTATGGGTTTGGAATGACATGAGGGTGAGTAAATGACAGAATATTCATTTTTTTGGGTCTAAAAACGAATTGAGGACATGTATATCTGCTCACCATAAATGTAAAATGTTCAACAAGTCAAAGTGAACTGCTTCATTCTGTGAAATGCGGTTTGGTAGACAAACATCTTCTGCGTGAGAATGTGTCTGCTGCTATATGTTTGTGTTTGATGTTTGTGTCTGAGGTGTCAACACTGTGTCTGTCTATAGCACAAATTTATATGGGAGATGTGTTTGAAAAACAGAAAAAATTAAGCTAGCTTTGAAAGCATAAGATTGCATCCTTTCTGCAAATCACTCTCCAAAGCCACGCCTCCTCCAGCGCGGTCACTTAATCAGGATGAGAAAAGACTTTCAGCCAGCATAACAAAAATGTTTTTGAACCAAATCACCTAAACTCCCATTAAAAACATACTTGTTTGATGCGCGAGAACAAACTTCACTTGTTTCTGTGCATCAAGCATGCTAATTTAAGCTTCCGTCCATTTCTTGAAGCTTGAAAATGATGATTATATGGACAAAAATTGAGATGATTGAAGGTCCTATGGGTTTGGAATGACATGAGGGTGAGTAAATGACAGAATATTCATTTTTTTGGGTCTAAAAACGAATTGAGGACATGTATATCTGCTCACCATAAATGTAAAATGTTCAACAAGTCAAAGTGAACTGCTTCATTCTGTGAAATGCGGTTTGGTAGACAAACATCTTCTGCGTGAGAATGTGTCTGCTGCTATATGTTTGTGTTTGATGTTTGTGTCTGAGGTGTCAACACTGTGTCTGTCTATAGCATGTGGTTGTAGGGTGTTTTTCCATTTCTGCCCATGATTTTAACAGATTGACACAGTTCTCTTCTGTACACAAGAGAGAGAGAGAGAGAATATTCTCTCCAGCCAAAACATCATGTGCTTGTGTTTGTGAAATATAAACTTGATGTTCAAGGGCATATCCATCTCACTATAAATCCACGATCTTATGAACTCATGCTGTGACCCTGTAGACAAGCTCTGCTAGTTTCAAGAGTTCTAACAATAACTATTCTTGATCTCACAGATGTTTGTAACGATCATATCCTGTTTTTGTCTGTCAATGTCTGGGATGCGTTTTAAGAATAAATGCAATGTATGATTTGCTATTGTGACATTTATAGTACCATGCACATGTTTGACAGTTATACTAATGCCTTTAGTTTTCATCAGTTTGGGGGAGGAGCTAACATAAAGGAGCAGTGTTGCTAGAAAACTATACTAAATGCATATTTAAATGTGTGTTGTGATTCAGAAAGACTGTTTCATTAATGAGATTAATATTCATTCAACATTTAATAACTCATAAATCCACTAATATTGACTTGCAACGCTATCCTTAATTATCACCCAGAACAAGGACAGAAAGACAAAATCATCCTTTTTTTTTTTTTTCGCTCAGTCAAATATCAGTGCTTATATTAGGGTTATTATTAATGGTCACTACTAGTTGTTTCCTATTGTTGTTGTTTTTTTTGTTGTAAAGACAGTATCAAACATTTGTTATAAATTGCCTAATATTTCATTTATACATAACATGTGTATACTATAAGCAGTGCACAATATACCACCTCTAGTGTCAAAACCAGAAACTGACAGAGTAAAAATCTAAAACCTTTAAAGGTGAACTTTCAGTCCATCAAATTTGAAATGACATTCCAAAATGTACAGACACACTCAATGATTGCTCTAATAACTCAGTGTAACTTATTTCAGTTATTTTTGAATACTTTTCTGAGAAAAAGAAAAGAAAAACTCAGATTCCACTTGTTACGAGTCAATCGGATGTTTTAATGTCATTTATTACAGTAAAACACAAAAATCGTATAAAACGTATAAAATATACAAAAAATGTAATTATTAAAAAAATACAAATATCAAATCAGAAGCAAAGGCTTCTTCAAAAAAAATTAAAAATACAGTCATTACATTAAAAAAAATGAATCTGATCAGCACCACTTCATAATACATCACAAATGTTTTGTTCACAAAGTTTCACTGTGATTCTTTTTTTTTTTCACATTTCAACAAAGATATATAGAAAACAAATGCATGAAGACTATAAAACATGACTTTGTTATTGTTTTATCATGTGGAAATCATGCTGTAGCACTTTTCCTGAGGAAAAAGGCATTAGGTGTTCCACATGCTATTTCATCATTCAAACACAACCTACAGCATTTATGCATACATGCATGAAACGTAATAAACACTCTCAGTGAAATGTTTCAACTACTATGAGGTAAATGATTTTCAAGCTGGTTAACTCTGGTTGGTGTTATTGTATAAAGATGGTTCATTTTAATGGCAGCTTGCTTGGTAAGATGCTGGATAAGTAAAAAAAAAAAAAAAAAAAACCCACTTGGTACATTAACAACATAATATCAGTATTTTGTATTAACATCAACAATATCAATTAAAAACACTTGCAGCATCAGTTTTTCGGCATCTCTTCTGTTGCAGCTGTGCGCCCGTCTGGGCGACATAAATGTAAACAGCCAATGCTAGCAACTATAAGTCAATGTCCTCAAATGGGACAAAATAACTGGTATGTCAAGGCATTTATAGGTCTTACAGTGTAGTTTTTTCACAATGCTGCAACTTCAATACAATACTGTAAAAAAAAAAATATTGAAAAATTGCCACAGCATTAAAGGCATACTATTTTTGTCATTGAAAATATGTATACAAGCCAATCTGGTGCATTTTTTGTTAGTTTGATAGTGTCTCAGTCCACATCACATTTTAGGAAGACAAACAATTTGAGTATGATATTATTATTATTATGGTAACACTTTACTATAAGGTGTCATTTGTTAACATTAGTTAATGTACAATTAACTAACATGAACAAACAATGAACAATATACATTACAGTATTTATTCATCTTTGTTAACGTTAGTTCATAAAAATACAATCATTCATTGTTAGTTCATGTTAGTTTACAGTGCATTAACTTGTTAACAAATACAACTTGTGATTTTAATAATGCATTAGTAAATGCTGAAATTAGCATTAACTAAGATTAATAAATGCTGTACAAGTATTGTTCATTCTTAGTTCATGTTAACTAATGTTGTTAACTAATGTTAACTAATGAACCGTATTGTAAAATGTTACCATTATTATTATTATTATTATTTCTAAGACAGAAGTACAATATGTTGTAATACAACTGAACTTTAAAATGAAAATGATCATTTCATATATTATTTTAGTTTACTGTAGTACTGTATTAGTTTACTGTAGTTACTGTACTGTATGTCTTCATTTGCCATCTGAGTTAATGTTACAGAAAAAGCTACTAGCTTCTTTCAAAGTTCAAACATTATCAAATGGTATCAAACAACTCAAGTGAGGTCAAGTAATAAAATAAAAACAAATAAACACATTACAACCAATGACACAGATAAATACAATAGAACAAATATCCGAAATAAAACCAGTGCTTGAAGTTCTTCAGTCAGGTCTAACAATGACTTTGACTCTGTCTTTTGTTGTTTAAATTACATTAATGACACAGCTGTCACAGCTGAAGACTGAGTGGATCTATAATAAAGATACAGGTGATTTCTTGCCGTTTAAGTTCCTTTAAGACGTAACAGACTGTTTATGAGGATACTCGCCAACACGGGTGTTTTGACATAATGTGACATATTTATTCGTTCAAGTCTTGCAGATGTAAAAACAGACGTCAAATAGATGTCTCTGTGATGTACGTGTGCCATCAGGGCAGTAAACAATGCACGAGTACTGAGTTCTAGATTCGATTGAGGTGGGCCGTAACAGAACGCTTCAACAGGACCCAATGAGACGAGTGTTGCTGATTTTAGATCGAAGGTTCAGAAAAGGCCCACAGACTCTCCCTTTAAAAGAAATCAGAACAGAAGTGGTCGAAAGTGGACAGAATTAAAGAAGAGACAGATTAAAACTCCTGGTGTGAACGGGAATGTGTCTCCCTCGTCTACTTGTGATCCGATCGACCAAAATGCATCTTATTAGGCTGCATTTACACTGCATGGTTCAAGTCACCCAATTCAGATTTTTTTTCCTCTCATGTGGCACAGATCAGATATGGCCCATGAACGTGTAAGCAGGAAAAAAGCACATGGATTCCGATACTCGTATGTGAAAATAAATCTGATATGAATCGGATGTGTGCATGCACCTGCCGTGTAAGCGGACAGATCGGATATTACCAACGACTATAGAATACCCATGAAGTGTCACTCGTATAGTTTTGAATGGGGAAAAATGCAACGCTCAATATGGCCACTCTATCGACGAGAACCATGCCTTCTGAATAAAAAAGCCAATGGCTCATCTGTAAAGTCATTGCATCACTCCAGCTGCTGGTTGTCCCGGTTGCTATAGAACCAGTCAGCATTCTAAGGCCCTGTTTGCACTAGTGCATTTTTGTTGTGTTTAAGTGTAAACGGACCAAAACGTAGACTTTTGAAAACGATGGTGTGGCTGCCCACATTCGCTCTGCGTATCCTTGACAACTGTGTAAACATTGATAAGCATTTTTCAAGTTAAGCCTGTGTAGTGTAAATGCAGATATCAGATACGGGTCACTTTTAATAGAACGAAGGTGTAACGGGTCATCAAAAAAATCGGATACAGTCAAAAGATCAGAATTGGGCATTTGCAGTGTAAATGCAGCCTTGATACCAAGGGTAAACGGGGCCTGAGTGAGTGACAGGATTCATTTTCTTTTTTTGAATTCAAGTTTATATAACTTAATATTTAGGCCACATGCTTTCAATTATTATTTAGGCCACATGCTTTCAATTATTATTTAAATGAGTATCAAAAATCATATTAGTTCTTGGTGTGGTGTTGAAACTAAAGTTGAGGTGAAATTTCACTTGGTATTGGTAGTGACTCCTAAAATCTTGGTATGGTGACACTATTTCTCTGAGCAATGAGACTGTCTTATGATGAAGAAAGGATTGGAAACAAGAACATTTCTCCGTTCTCTATCCTCTCTTCACTTCCCATGAAAGTATCAAAATAATTAATCATGTTAAATCTCACTGGCAGCCGCAGGCTCAATCTCAATGTGATTAGAGGACGGGTCATTGGTAGTGTTCATCACTAGAGCATCAGTGTGATTAGAGGACCTCTCATTAGCATCATCCATCAGTGGAACGTCACTCTGATTAGGCGACAAATCGTTAATACCAATCGCCTGTAAGAAAACAGATTCACAGAAGGTAAAAGACATGAACAGGACTAATGATTCACTTACACAAAAATAGACTAGGAGCTGGAAGTGTATTTATTTTTATGTTTGCAGAACATATGGTGTTCTTTTCCTAAATATTAGTGAATCTGATAAACTGCATTACACTGTCATCTTCTGTACTACAGTAATATACAGTTGTGGCCAAAAATATTGGCACCCTTGAACTTTTAAAAAAAAAAGTAACAACTGCATTACACTGTCATCTTCTGTACTACAGTAATATACAGTTGTGGCCAAAAATATTGGCACCCTTGAACTTTAAAAAAAAACAAGTAACAAAAAGCTAAATATTAAATATAATTCTCATAATAATATAATTAAATAAATAATATATTATAATTAAATCAACTATTGGAATTATATGATTATATAATAATAGAAATCTATCCAGACCATTGTTTATTATGACGTAAAACAGTAAGAACAGTACTGTCCTGATGAGTCAGTTATTATTGGTGTTTCAATGTAATGATTTCTGAAACAAACCACATAAATCACACAAACATGGTGCCAACTTGCAGATCTGAATCAGATTTTTTTGTAGGCAAACCGATTCAGTGCTCATAGTATCTTACCTGATCATTGTGCTGCATCCTGGTGTCTGTTTGAACAACAATAAAAAACTCAGTTAACTACACATTACTTGGTTAATCAGAGTAATTGTATGTATATATATATAGATATATGAAGAGTTCAGATGCAAAAGT